ATTTTGTCTAGGAGCAGGAAATAATACAAATTATAATACAAGTGATGGCAATAACACGACCCGAACTACAAGTGATGGCAGTAACACAACCCGAACTATAATCGCTGTTGTTGCTTCAGTTGTTGCGTGCTTTGTATTAGCTGCTTTCGCTTGGGCTTTATTACAAAAGAGAATGAAGCTAAAACAAGAGAGTGAGTGTTTTGCTTGGACCTTTGTCAAAATCTCTACTTTACTACATAAAGGTCTCTATATTTTATTTCATTTTATTTCCTTACATCATGTACTCAGCTCAAGTTATATTTAACAGATACATTATTTGAAGACGAAAGTATAGAAGTTGAATCTCTCAGATATACTTTAGCCACACTCAAAGATGCTACTAATGATTTCTCAGAAGAAAACAAATTGGGGCAAGGTGGCTTTGGAGCTGTTTATAAGGTAGTAATAATTTTCTGTAACAATATCGATATTAATTAAGGAGCGTGTGTCCTAAAATGTTGTGATATTATATATTAGGGAATACTTTTGAACGGTCGAGAAATAGCAGTCAAAAGATTGTCACGGAATTCAGGACAAGGCGATTTGGAATTTAAGAATGAGGTTTTATTATTGGCCAACCTTCAACACAGGAATCTAGTAAGACTTGTAGGCTTTTGCCTAGAAGGAACGGAGAGGATCCTCATATATGAATTCATGGAGAATGCTAGCCTTGATCACTTTATATTTGGTAATATCATTAATTTTTCTAAGGGAAAATTGTATTTTTGGTCCATTTTTAGTCTTGCTCGTCAAATATCATAGCAATTTTAATCTCAGATTTCAATGTTTTACTCTTTGATCATGTGATTTAATATTTTACTCAATCCCAATCATTTGAGGACTAAAATTGCAACAAATTCCGAAATTCGCAAATTTTCGATTATCAATTTAATCCTATAATTTAAAATTTTGTTGCAGTTTCAATACTCAAAGAATTAAAATTGCAGGAAAATATTAAATTACGGAACCAAAATGTGAAAAATTGAAATCTTAAGACTAAAATTGCAATGCTGTTACATCTAACATTACCAAATTGAAATAGAATATAATTTTGAACATGTAGATCAAGTCAAACGTTCAGACTTAAATTGGGAGAAACGCTACAACATCATAGGTGGCGTAGCTAGAGGACTATTGTATTTGCACGAAGATTCTCAACTAAAGATCATTCACCGTGATCTCAAACCCAACAATATACTTTTAGATGGATCAATGAACCCAAAAATTGCAGACTTCGGCATGGCAAGACTGTTTGGGCAAGATGAGACTCATGGAGATACCGGTAGAATTGCTGGAACCATGTAAGCGTTTTTAGATATAGCACCAATAGTTCAACATCAAAGAGTTGAAATGCTCTAAATTAATGAACATTTATAGCAAATGAACTCGTAGTAATTTACTAAAAAAAATCAGAAGATTCAAAACTAAAAGAAGTATAAGCTAATTGAGAAAACAATTAGTTAGTAGTTACATATATACTTACCATTTGGAATATTGGGGGAATAGTGCTGTAATCGAACCGAACGAGCCGAGCTTGGGATGTTCAAACAGTGTTCGTGTTCGTTCGTTTATTTATCTAACAAAAAATCGTGTTCGAGCTCATTCGTTTAATTCTTCGTCGAAGTTCGAGTTCGTTCGTGTTCGAATAATTTAGGACATAAAGTTTTTAAATATGTTTGATTAACTCGAAATTTTTTCTTGCGAACTTGAAAAAAAAAATTATATGTAAGTTTTTTTATTAAAAATATTATGTAAATATACAAAAAAAAAAAATATAATAAATTAATGTTCGCTAACATTATCGAACTTACGTGAACGAGCTCGTGTTGGTTCGATTATTAAATGAGCTTACTTTTCTATTCGAACTCGGCTCGATTAACAAACGAACGAACTTTTGTCGAATACAAACGAGCTCGAACGAGCTTTTGTTTGCGAACATTCGGTTCGATAACAGCCCTAGAAACAATTCCAGTTCTTTTGTATTGTATATACAATTTCCTCAACATTATGACATATAGTGCATATTCTTCTCCTCTCCAAAGTCATATTTTGAGTAAGACAATGTATATTATATTTTTCATTTCCCTAATTGGTTTTGTTAGCAAGCTAATCATGTTATTTCCTTCTAATAATAACTATATTGTAGTGGTTATATGGCTCCGGAATATGCAATGCATGGACAAATTTCGACCAAGTTAGATGTATTCAGCTTTGGAGTACTCACATTGGAAATCATTAGCGGTCGAAGGAAAAACTATTTCCAGCGAGGGGAGAATGTAGTAGAGGATCTCTTGAGCTCTGTAAGTAAAATTTTTGAATAAATCAACCAAATGTTGTTAATTATCAAAACTAACCACAAACTATTGTAGGCATGGAAAAATTGGCGGGAAGGAACACCTGAAGAAATAGTGGATCCATGTTTGAATAATTCTATCTCAAGTTTTGTAATAAGTGATATGTTGAGGTGCATCCAAATTGCTTTGTTATGTGTTCAAGAGAATGCTATTGATAGACCAACAATGGCTTCGGTTGTCCTTATGCTCAGTAGCTCCACTTTAGTTCTAGCGGAACCTTCCGAGCCTGCATTCTATATGCCGAGTGGCTACGGTTCGGAAACTTCTTCACTCATTCAAGAGCATAATTCCAGAAGTTCCAAGTACACAAGTTCATCAAAAAGTGTCATACCAACTCAATTATCAGACAATTCATCATCAAGAAATGATGTCTCGATTAGTGACTTCTATCCACGTTGAATCAAGAATCGTATTTTGTATGCATTATGGGTTTATGCCATTTGAATGCTAGCCTATAAAGGTTGGAAAATACAAGTTCATATATGAATCGACACTTGTTTCAATTTAGTGTTGCAATTTTGTTTTACCTTCTATATTTATTGAAAAATAATAAATATTTTTGTACCTTCTCTTTTTTTGCATGGTATATATAAAAACAACTATTTTCTTGTGTTTTCTTTACAATTACAATATGCTTCATCTTTTTTATCTATTCTTTTTTTTTTTCAAACGGCAACTACATATATTAATAACTTGAAATCTCAAAAGAGTACAAACGAGGTGTCAACTGACACCACTGTAACCAGAATAAACTATAAAATCAAAGTCTAGACCAACACCCTTGAACTAAACCCCTATCCAAGGGGTTACAAACTCCATCAAGGAGACTGACAGAAACTGGGAGAAAACAGGTGCGGGTCCACTCCCATAAAGCACACCATGAGAAAACAGGAAAAGCTCATATAAAGCCCAAGTGGGGTTCCATCCCAAAACCAATTGGTAGAAGGAGGAGCCCATTAGTTTTATAAGGTGGGCCTATTTTTCATGTATGAACGATGTGGAACAACTCATAACAAGTGATATTCTAACACGCCCCCTCACTTGTGAGTCCTTCGAAAGCCCAAGCCCCACTGGGCTGGGTGACGGGTACGTCGTCGCACGGTTACCAATAGAACCGGCTCTGACACCATGACAGAAACTAGGGAAAAACGGGTGCTGGCCCACTACCATGAAGCGCACCATGGGAAAACGGGAAAAGCCCAAGTGGAGTTCCATCCAAAAACCAATTGGTGGAAGGAGGAGTAATCCATTAGTCTTATAAGGTGGGTCTATTTTCCACGTATGAACGATGTGGGACAACTTACAAGTGATATTCTAACAAAAAGCTGCTGCAAAATAAAACTCCATAAAGGAGACTTCACGCCAAACGTCGTTGGACTTCACAAATTAAAAACAAGAAAAGACAAAACACGACGCACACCGCACTTCTATTGTATCGTACCGTTACTTTAAACCGTACCCTTTCTTTATCTATTCGCTTCTATTGTACCGTACCCTTTCTTTATCTATTCACTTCTATTGTATCGTACCCTTTCTTGTATTTTATTTAGGGCGTAAGCGAACGGGCATTAGGGGAATGACTCATTTAACTATCATGTGCAATATTGCATGGGTCACGTATCATATATATATATATATAAAAAATTTGACATTTACTTGAAATAGTATGTGTAAATTTTCACTAAACAAATATAGTTACTAAAAAGGGATATCTGGTAGATTTTTTCACTAAACAATTTTTAGCGATTTCACACGTTTTATCGAAAATATTTTATATATATTTAAGCATGTTATATAACATTTTTAGTTACTTCTAATGTTTTAATTAGCCATGTTTTATATTTTTATACAAGTTAAGTTTTACATAGAATTTTAATAGATTATCATATGTAAATTGTACTACATATTAAATCCATACTTTTATTTTATAAATATTATTTAATATTGGTTGCTCGTGCTGATTCTACAAGTAATTCATGATGAGAAACATTACTCGTTTAATGATAATCTATCTATCTATATCTATATCTATATATATAAAGAGTCAACCTATTTACCAAAAATAGTAACAAGAAAAGTCAAACAAGCATTTATTGTATTTTATTTTTTGCAGTTTTTGAATTTTCTTTTTAATTTATTTTCCAAAAATCGATCAGCTATATATGTACCCTAAATTCATAGGCTTTGTGGATTAGTTTTAGGTAAATTTTGTATGCTTACAATTTTGTAAAGTCAAAATTCTTTCTCATTTTTATTAAAAAACAACTGATTACCACAAAATCGAGAATTTCGGATTAAGCAAAAAACTGATTACCATAAAATGTTTACAATCAACTCCGCTCGATATTTTCTCGAGCCAATAGTTGCGGCCATATCCCAAACCAAATTAATTGTATGAAGATGAAATTTCATATTTGCTTAAGATAAGTTTAATGGTTATTTTATCCTAGTCATTATTTAAAAACAAATTCTGTGAATTTTAATATATATTTTGAATTTTAAAATATCATATTTTTATTTATATTATTTTTCAAGGTATGACATTTTGTATTGAAAGTATAAATATTTTATAAAACGAGTATGTGAACCCATTAGGTAGGTCTGCTTAATACAAAACTTACCATTATTTAAAGCTAATATTTCATAATGAAACTATGAATATTTAGAAGAAAAAAAATTCAGGTTATTCTATTAGATTGTATTCTGTAAATTATTATAACTAATCAAATTTAACATATTATTATTTTACTCAATAAATTTTCAATTAAAGCATAAGAAATCTATACTTATATAATAAGGTGTACCATTTACGAAATTTAGTAAGTTGAAAAGTCAATGCAATAAATGCATTACTATTTTGAGCAACATAATATAATATCATATCTATACTTATATAAAAGGAGATTCTATTTACTACATTTACTATCCAGAAAAGTCAACTGCATTAAATGCCATTACTATTTTGGTATTATAATATTTTATTTATTTAATTGATTTATTTAAAAAGGTAAGTATAATAAAAAGATTTTAATAATAAAAAAATCAAATACCAAATAAAAATGTACACTTTGACTTATTTGATTATATTTGGTATTTGATTATACCAAATATATTCCTATTTAGTATATACATTAAATACTTATTAAAGTATTTATTTGTTTTATTTGTCAAAGTTAAGTATTTATTTGTTTTATTTGTCAAAGTTAAGTATAGATTTGTTTATATTATCAAATCATAAAAAAATATTAAATCCATATTGTTAAAAAGAAAAAAAATCATATAATTTTATAACAATTCTACTACACTATTTAACAATATTCCTTTTTATTATATAATAAAATAATAATTAAATATTATATGGTGAACAACAATAAGTAAAACTGTTACTTTCTCTTATATCAAGGGATAAATTTATATGCTAAAATTAAATTTTTATTAATATAAATGTTTTAGTGTAATAATATATTAATTATTTTACAAGCTAGCCCTAACATGCTCATATTTAATGTTTTAAAAGATGTAAAAAAAACTTATAATAACTCTATTGTTTTTTAGACTTAAACGTTGATTAAAAGAGGTAAAAATTCCTAATTTTTTAGACTTAAACGTTGATTAACACCATAAATTGAGAGTCTATATTTAGTAAAATTCCTAATTGTAATAAAAAAATTAATTTTTGCTATATTTTAGAATATCTTTAAATTCATTATAAAAAAAAAGAAAAAAAAAACTACAATGAAAAAAGCAAGTCAGCTATACATCGATTTGTTGTACTCCTCAAATCACATTCACAATTTGGCTACAGGGAAAAGAAACTCATTGATTAAAATATTATTTTGTCAGTAGTCTTAATGTACAAGAGACTTTAAGACTCTACTTGAATATTATAAAATTTTTATTGAACATTATACAATTTTCTTGCGTATTATAAACTTTTATTGAATATTGCATCTTATAATATAATATTCTTCAAATAAATATATCCTCGGGTCACGTAATATATATATCCCGTACATTTTTCTTTATTCATGTATATAATTATAAACCTGGATAAATAGCCTTAAAATTGTGCACTCCGTGCATGGCACGGGCTCTGTACTAGTAATATTGAACCACTCGTCTTTTTTGTTAGATTGTTTCAAGAAAAATATATATTTAAGAAATTAAATTTTTTCAGGTTATTCTATTAGAATTTATTCTATAAATTATTATAACGGATCAAACATAACATATTATTTTTTACTCAATAAAGTTTCAATTAGAGAAAAAGGACTAATACTGAACCACTGGTCTTTTTTGTTAGATTGTTTCAAAAAATATTTTTTTGAAACAATCTAACAAAAAAGACCAGTGGTTCAGTATTAGTCCTTTTTCTCTAATTGAAACTTTATTGAAATAATCTAACAAAAAGTCCACCGGTCAGTGCCAGTTTGAGGGGGAGGCACCATAGGCCCATGCCTAGGGCTTCCAATTTTTAGGGGCCTCAATTTTCATTTTTTTTTCAATGTTTATGTATTTGTGTTTGGTTTTGTTTATTTACACAAATAAAGGGGCTAATGGCTAAATATGAACTTGACCTATTACACAAATCAAGAGACTAATTAATGAAGAGACTAAGAGCACCCACAATGCTTTGGGTCATGTAGGAAATGGATCTAGTTTATAAAAATGTGTTTCACAATGCAATTAAAAGTGGACCTAGTCTAGCTTATGTGGCAATAAAAAAAAAGAGACAAAGTCCACACTTTGGTCTATTTTGGACCCAAGTGCAAACCCAAGCACTCATCATTTATTCCTAATTTAATTTTTCTTTTAATAAAGGAAACATAATAGAACATTTTTATTGGTTGACATGTATGCTAGACCTAGTATTTTATTTTTGCATTGAATAGCTTTTGAGTTTTTTTTACTTGGTTTGTCCATGTTATTTAGGACTTAAGTCTATTTATATGTCACATAGGTAAAATTAGACCCAATGCATTGTGGGTGCTCTAATAGCAAAATATGTACTTTGTGTAGGAATTTGAGGCCCTAAATATTTCATTTGTTTTCTTATGATGTTCGGTCAGAACAAGTTGTGTGAAAACAAATATTTTTTGTTGTAATATGATTTTTATTTTCTATTCCTTGTTGTCTTTGAGACTGCTTGAATGCAATTTATAATTTATTAAAGGTAATTTTTCTAAGGTCTAGAAAAACAAGAAAAATCATTTTTTTTTCAATTATTTATTTATTTAATAGTCTTGTGTAATTAAATTTTTTTCCTTGTATGATTCTATCTACAAATAGCCATACCACGCAAGTTTTAATCGAGAAATTTGAAAAGGTAAAATTTGTCTTGGGCCTCTAAATTTTTGGAGACGCCCCTGCCATCGGCCTGCGTGATCTGTTGGGCAGAGTGTTAATCCACGTTACATGCGTTACGGGATTGTCCTATGGCGACCCTCACGTGGAAACGGCTGCTCTCCCGTAGCTTCTGGAGTGTCTTTTTCTCTCTGGATATTAGCCGGTGGTTTTTTGGAAAATCTTACCGGTAACTTAAGCCGGGCTCGTGATGACTGAGAGTCGATATTCGGCCTTACCACATGAAGACTATGGCGGTGGAGGAATCTCAAGCTTTTCCAAGATTCCGACGTACCTATGTTCCGGCAGCTTGATGAGGTTTTTTACTACACAGATATGGCACGATGTACCTCTATTGGGAGCCAGATAGTTGGCGCATGTGAAGTGAGGGAGCGGCATTGGATTTCGTGGTAGGGCCCAGCGGTGATTGGGTTGAAAGTCAATACGGACGGGAGTTTTGATCCGTCGACGGGAATAGCTAGCGCCGGGGGCCGGGAGTCATACGAGATCATTTTGGGAATTGGGTGCATGGTTTTGTGATGAATATCGAGTTTTGCTCGATCGTTGGAGCGGATCTCTGGGGCTTGTTTCTAGGCCTACTTTTGGCTTGGGATATCGGTGCTCGAAGGATTATAGTTGAAGTTGATAATAAGAGCATTATCGATATGGTTCTACACGAACATCATAGCGGGCCGCATGGCGAATTGTTGAGGGGTACAAAGGAGCTCTTAGACCATCGTTGGGAGGTGGATATTATTCATGGTTATCGGGAAGTCAATTTTGTGACGGATTATTTGGTCTTTGGCGGAGAAAGGCCCGGGCGGGTTGCAAAGGTTGGCGAGTCATCCGGGGGCGAGCATGCAGTTACATCATGATAGGATTGGCGTAGTTTATCCTCGGAGTGTTCTAATTTAGGCTTTGCATGGTCTTTATTTCNAGTATTATATTTCATAACATAAGTATGTATTTAAAAAAAACATTGAATGTTAACGGTTATACAAATTAATACTAACATTTATGTCCTTTCAAAATTCAAATAATGTCGTGTTGCATTATAGACTAGACTGCAATTCCCAGTACACAAATCGAAATAAGCACAATAATTTTAAATGACTAATCATTGAGCTTTTACAATAATGACAGATAACCACTACTGTACACTTATATATAACTGCCTAACTTGCTACGAACTTCCCACGTCTCTTTCTGTGGCACAAAACAAATAATAAAAATAAAAACACCTCACATGAATTTATTTGCCAAAACCCCCAAATTTCTCCCTCTCCATGATCATTCTTGAAATTAACCCAATTGTCACTCTCCTCCAATCCACACATGTATTTAATTTTTCTTTTCTATTTTCATTAATAAAAACATACCAATACCATTTTTCCTATTTTTCTTTTTGGGTTTTTTGATGTGTCATTTTGGATAAAAGAGAAATTAAATTCCAACTTATATACGTAACCTTATGTAAGATAATTCACATAATATCAAATATATATCATCAAATTTCTTGGGAAAGGGGTCGAGAATTGAGATAGAAAATGACAGAAAATCCCAAGCTGGTAAGTAACCTTTTCTTCTTTTTGTTTATTTTTTTCTTTATTTTTGTCAATAGGTTCACTGTTTCATTGATTTATGGTGTTAATCTTTTTTTATTTTTTTTATGGTTATTGATTTTCAGGAGGATATGTGTTCTAATAATCGAAGCACAACCATGGAAGAGAAAAAAGATGGGAAAATATCAGTTTCTGATCATCTGTCTGATAGTTTCGTGGTGGACTTGAATCGATTTGCTCATCTTATGGAAAAAGACATCAACAGTTCAAATTCCAGAATTACAGTAAGTTTATTGCATGATCTCTGTTTTAATCTGAAATTAATAATAAGTTTTCTTTGTCTTAATTGATACTACTAAATTAAGAAAATTTCCCCTCAAAAGCGTAATTTTTGTTCAAAAAGTGGCAGTTTAAGTCTATTTTCAGTTTTGGTACTTTGGTCTTTTCCCAGAAATGATACGATACAATAAAATTAATACACTATCTGACCAAAATCATCAAAAATATCAAAATGAAAATTTTTGTTGNGAAACGAATAGACCAAAAATAATTTTTGCATTCCAATGACTATACAGATTTCTAAGATGATAAAGAAAACAAAAGGTAACAACAAAAGGAAATGGCATTTTTGTTAATAATAATAATAAGTGTTTTTTGGTGGATAAAATATGAAAGTTGCAGAGAAATCTTTCAAGAAAAGGATCAGTGAGAAATGGAGAGCTGAAAATCAGTGGCAACGATAGAGACGCCGTTACAACTTCATCCACAGGTTGGTTTATGTAAATGTTTTTTCTTTTTCACTTTTTTTTTATGTTTTATTTTTTCATTATTAAATTTCCCCTTACTTTAATTATTTTTACATGAAGCGAGGTTAAGGTGTGATTTGATTATTAAGGGGAAAAGAATCATTTAATTAGAGTCGGGTCAAAAATTTATAGACAGGTCAAACCTAATCTCAGTGATTATTATTAAAAGGATTATCATAGATTAATAATCAAGTCATACTCCTATCCGTTTCAAATGCCTAACATACCCCCTATTATTGTATTTTATTATGCTTAATCATTAGTTTCCCCTATTTTTACGGAAATAAAATTTGAAAATAAATGAATTACATATATTTGAAAATATAGTTTTATCCCTATTTTTATGGAAATAAAAACATGGCGAGCAGAAATTTGACTATGTTTTCTATTTCTTTTTCATTATCGGTACATAAGCGGATGATTTCTATTTATCTCCTTGACATTCATATATCCACCCATTAAATAGATTATTAATTATTAATGACGTAGATTTTAGAGTATTAAATTTGTAATCTCGTATTTTGTTTTGATTTGAAATGATAGTTTTATCTTATAGTCTGAATTGGTATATATTCATCTTCGAGCTACAACCTTATAGAAACTAAAATTATAAATTGATATTTTCATTTCCTTCAAGATTCATGAATCGATATAGTTTCTCTTTCAAATTTTTACTTTTGAAATAAATAATTTCAAATTGAGTAACATAAGATTATGAAATTAGTAAGGTAGCATCTATGATAATCACATGCTAATAATTAGTATTTTGTTTGCTTAATAAAATATTTGTGTAAGAATTATTAATTTCACCATGGCAACACCACCAAAGACATTTTAATACTGCCAATATGTATGCTACTCTTTAATAAATATATTGCTTGTACAGTTTAAAGTGTAATCGTGCAGGATCATGCACCACGTGTTTTTCACAAAGAAAATAACCACAAAATACCAATAATTCTGTAAAATAGTCAGTTTTATGGCATGATTAATTAGTTTGTTAATTAGTCATTAGCTTCAACCAAAAGGGACAGCAAATCCTGTAAGAGGGCTATTTACATTTATTGTGCCAGTTCTTGGTAGAGTAAATGGTTTGTCTTTTCTTTCTTTTTTATCAGTTATGAAAAGTATAAAACTTAAAAATAAAAATTATAAAATATATTTTACTTTCTAAAGATTTCAACTTACAGTTTTAAATCATTGGAGTCCCAAATTGATAAATATTATCAACTTACTGTTTTAAATCATTCGAGTCCTAAATTGATAAATTTTATTTTTGGAGTCCCGAAATTCACATCTCAAATTATTATAAACAAAAGTTTTAAGTTAATAGTTGTAGATCTCTTACAAAAGTTTTAAGTTAATAGTTGTAGATCTCTTGGGCCGTTGATAGATACTCAGACAGATAAATCTTTATTAATAATTGATAAATAAAATAAATAAGTATAGTAATTGATGTAGGGAAGCGTACGATTGAGAAAGATAAACGAGATACTCTCTCGATAAACATCACAATCAATTCATATTTTATTCAATAATCAACAATCTCATAACAAAACAAAAGAACCATTTAAATAAGGCTCCTAACCCTAAACCTTAACTTGTTCAACAAGATAAGATCTCTTACTAAATATTAAATTCTTAACTTATTCTCTAAGACACCTATTAAATAATAATAACAATAATAATAATAATAATAATAGATACTAATCTACACCAATAATTATATTAAATAATATAAAACTATTTATTTATGTACTAATTTCTATAACACACCAAAGCCTAATTCCTTTCCATTTGCATAGGTAATAATTAATTGTTGATTGAAAAGTAGGTTTTCTAAGGGTGACAGCCATTGGTACTTAATTTGGGATAGGGTGTAATGCCAGAGTTGACTTCAAAACTTGGTTGTCATTGCATGTATGAATTTTATAAAACTAAATTGGATTTATACATAAAATCCATCCTTAATTTACCAAGAAAATGATGTGTGTTTGTTTATTTATTTATTTATTTTGCATTTTACGTGGCTACGGTGTGATATAAATACCACGGAATAAAGTTGTGCTATTTACAAACAACTAGTACGTACACGGGACAGAGATATTAAATGAGTTATTTTTACCCCTTTGTTTGTTTAAGTCTAAAAAATAATAGGGTTATTATCTATTTTCTACCGCTTTTAATCAACGTTAAGTCTAAAAAACAATAGGTTATTATAAGTTTTTTTTCCACATCTTTTAACCAGGGTTGGTTTTTTAGCCAGAATATTAGATATGAGCATGTTAGGGCTAGCTTGTAAAATAATTGATATATTATCTCACTAAAATATTTATACTGATAAAAATTTAATTTTAGCATATAAATTTATCCTTGATATAAGAGAAAGTAGCAGTTTTACTTATTGTTGTTCACTATATTATATTGAATTATTATTTTATTATATAATAAAAAGGAATACTATTAAATAGTGTAGTAGAACTGTTATAAAATTATATGAATTATTTTTTTTTTACAATATGGATTTAATATCGTTTTATGATTTGATAATATAACTATAATATATTCTTAATAATATAATAATATGAGATACGAATTTATATAATACTATGGATTTATTCTTTAATGTTAAGATATTGAATTAGGTAATATATGATTCACTAATTTGTAATCTGTCTCTTTTCATATTGAAAATAATCATGTGATTGAGTAGATATAACAATTATCTATAAATTCCTTCATTTAAGAATAATTTTTAAATTGGTTCAAGTGTTGAATACAGCCTGATTTTCTTGTAACTAAAATGAGAAGAGATTTTGAATTTTAAATTTTCAATTCAAACCACACGTAAATTTGGATGCATATTTTAAAAAAAATAAAATGAGAAGAGATTTTGAATTTCATATTCACTTCAATATCTGTCGAAATTTTCAAAAATGAATTCAACAAAACCCATAATTTTAGGGGCATTCAATGGTACCCTATTTTATGATTTAAAATATCTAAAACTTTATAAATATAGTGTGCAATTAATTATGAGTTGACTTTTCTTTCTACTAATTCTAGTAAATGGGATGGCTTTTTATATAAGTATAGATTTTGTGATGCCTAATGAAATAAATATTTATTATGAAATTGAATACAAGTCTCAAATTTCCTCAAAATAAAGTCTTAGAGGCGTCTGTAAAGGCATCAAACACCGAATGAAACAAAAGATAAATAAGAAATAAAATAAAAACACTGAAAATAATATATATGCTAGTTGCAAATAGTAAAATCAGTATTTTGCTTTCGGAAATTAATAGCGATTTCGAGCTCAAACACAAAAATTAGGTACATATTAATATCTTTCAATTAAGACGATTCTTAATATTCCAAAACTCGTCTGCTACATGTTCCACATCAACATGTTAGCATAAAGGATTGAGATAATGTGTTAATAGTCAAAAGAGTACCTACCTCTAAATCTTCATCTTTTTGTACAATGCTTATTGTTTGGTACAAAACCACTTAAATTACCCCACTTACTTTACTTTCTTTTCACCCTCATATTTTACTAATTTCGGCCATACACTCAATCCTGGCCAAATATCACATTCACATGACCCATTCAGTTAAGGGAAGGTTTTATAATGTTTGTGTGCAAAGATTCTCTAACTCTGTCTGGTACAAAAACTGCAGCTGGGAGCACGCCGGAAAAGCCAGGCCCAATGGCCGTGGGGCCCGCCGAGCAGGCCCATCACCAGATAACCATCAATAGTGGTGACCCAGCTGCTGGTGGGGTCGCTGCCGAAAGCATTAATTCGGTTGGCCGGAGATTCAGTTTCCGGCGAACTCGTCCGATGACGATTATTAGTAATCCTAAGCAGATACTCGTCTTTTTTGCAACACTGTAAGTCCAAGCAAAATATATATATATATACACACTAGTACGACACTCGTGTACTACACGGGTTGTTTGGTAAAAAAAATATAAAATAATAAATAATAGAAAAAACACATGTTGTTGCATAAAAATAAAAATAGAAAATACCAAAATCGATATTATTTCAAATTTTGAATAGATAAATAAAATTGTAAACGCACCCGTGTGAAAATGATATTATTATTATTTTAAATATATATATTAATGAATATATAGGTTAATATATTGGTTAACATATATATATATATAGGTTAATATATATGATCAACGAAGACAACATATATATGTTAAATTGTTAATATATATCTTTGTCTTGTGATTAAAGTTGCCTGAACATATGTTCATTTGTATATTATCTTGTCATGTTGTTGTTTTGATTGTCATGAACTTTTTTTTAAAATAATTTCAAATTAATTCAGGTAATATATGTCTCTCCGTGTATTACATATGTGAATTTTGTATAAGAATAAAGATCAAAAAAACTTTTGAAGGAATTAAATATACTATGATAAGAATAAGAATCCTATTAGGAGGATATAAGAATAAGAATTCTATTTGGAGTTGGAGTCCTATTTATTTTGGAAGGTATTAATTTTTATCCGAACCAAATACCGAAGCATGTAATGTTGCTAAGTAAGCTTTTGAAGCATGCGAGCCAACCATTTAGGCTCAACGAGTTTTCAAATTATATTAAGGGGATATGCCCATTCTTGATTTTTAACATGTTTTCATGTTCTATAGCTAGGAATTAAACAAAAAAGATGATGAATTTACTTATCAATCAGCGTCACGATGAAATGGGTGGTAAAGTGTTTTTCAAAATTTCTAATTTCAATTTTAATTTGGCTTTAGCACTCAAAATAAAATAATAATAATAATAATAATAATAATAATAATAATAAAAAATAAATAAAATCAAATTTTCAACTTATTCCGCAACTTCAATTCAATATGATTGACTGATTGATTAATGGTGATCGGTATCATCATTTGTTACAGGTCAAGCATTGGAACTATTTTACTAATCTATTTCACACTATCCATGGCCAAACTCAATTCGGATGGCAATGCTTCAATCTAACCTGATCAACTTTTTTTGTTTTACATTCTTCGGAGCATGTGTTTGGTTAGAACCCGAGACTTCTCATGAGGAAAATTTCGACTTTGGAAAGTCGCAAACTAATTAGAGTGTACAAACAAAGAAACTGACAACTTTTTGCAGAAAAGAACATGAGACTACCATCAAAATTCGGTGAAAAAGTGCCCAGTTTTTCGATAAAGACAGTAGCGGATGGCACCAAGGCACATATGAGGAATTTTTAGATCTTTATTCTATTGGGTCACAATGGAAACGCATGATATGTATATTTTTTTTTTTTTTTTTTTTAATGTTTAGTTTATCTTTGCACTTGAAAGCTGTTTTATTTTCCTCATATTGCATATATATTTTTGTTAATGTTTAATTGAACCTGCACAGTGGATCAATTATCTGCCCATATCTACTTCGTTGATTTAGTATCACTCTCACTAATGAACAAATGCTAATGCGAAAATTTAACTCGGAGACATATTGTTCTAGAAAATAGGTGTTGGCGTTGTGGCTCCAGAGAGACAAATTCTCATCTCTTTTTTTTTTATTGCTGCTGGTCTAAGAAAATGTGGAAATATGCGGGGTGGTGAAGGATTATCTCTAGTCTCCATAGAATGGATTTCATCTCTTTATTACTAAATATTCTATCAGCGAACCGAGTTATGGATTCTAGGAACTTCGCGGTGGGAATCTGGCTTATTTGGCATGAATGCAATCGTCTTCGTAAAAAATTTCGAGCAAAAAGTCCATAACAAGTTTGGGAGTTTGGATTATCATGGTTAAAAGAGTTTGATTACGCTCAATCGGGGTTGCTTGACAATGGCCAGAAACCAAGTCGGGATTTGCTCAATTGTTGGGAAAGGTCAGGAACGTGCCATAATGGTTGGACTTTCATGTATGATGCGGCTGTTCGAGATACAAGAATAGGCTTGGGAGGATGGATTTGGGACTCGGAGGGATCTTGCCAGGCTGCTTTTACTATGTATATCCATAGCTCATTTTCTCCTTTATTAGTGGAAGGCTATTCGTTATCACCTTCGGTTTGTTTGGGATTCAAATTTTAAAATTCAAGCGGTTCTAACAGACTCTTTAGGCGTTGTTGGAGGAATCTTTCAAAGGGAAGAATTCGACCCCCTCTTTGAGGTTTTTTCTGACATTAGGAAGTTACTATCTCTTCTGGATTGCAGTAAGTGTGAACACATCTTCCGAGTGAAGTACCAGGTGGCTCATCAAATTGCGAATTGGGTGATAGTGTCACATTCTTCTTGCTTTTGGAAGGACCTTCTTCCTTTTGTATTTTCATCTTTCTTCATGGATGTATTGAACTCTTAATTTGCTTGAATGCAAAGTTTTTTTATCAAAAAAAAAAAGTCCNAAAAAAAAAAAAAAAAAAGACAAACAAACAAACAAATAAGTATGCATCAATTCATTTAATTCTTTACACATGGATCAGTGTTTTGTGACCCGGACCGGCCCGGCGGGTCGACCCGGAGCCGAAACCGGTCCGGGTGGAGTATTTGGACCGGGCAACCAAGGACCCTGTCAAACCCGGTTGACTCGGTCAATATATATTTTTTATATCATTTTTTATTTTTTATTTTTTTTGTTTTTTAAAAATTAAACTATATATATGTTTATATGATAAATATTTATCATGAGATACATATTATTAATACTTTAATATACAAATTTTATACACAAAATATTTAATTTTGTTACTTTTATGTATATTTATATAACAAAAATACTCTATATATAATTTTAAAAATTTTAAAATTAATTATCCGGTTCAGCAATTGACCCGGTGACCCGACGGTTGAACCGGTGACCCGGTGACCCGAGGACCTGCCCGGGTCGATCACCGGGCCGGGTTTAAAAACTATGACATGGATACAATTTTATTTCTTTTAAAAATAGTTGTTTATGAAAAAAATTATGATCAACCCTCTATACTTATGCTAGTAGAAATGAACACGGCCCGAACTAGCCCGTGGTCAACAGGTCTTGAACCGAGTCCGTAGTTTGATTGGGGCGGTTCTGAGCCACATATATGTATTTTTTGAACTGTCGGGCCAATTTCGAACCAAAATCGAAATCGGCGATTCGACCTTTTTTTTCTTATTTTTTACTATATTTTTTTTTTAATAAATCGGGCTGACCGAGAACCGCCATTCACCTAGGGGGTGATTGTAACTAGTTTTTGTTTGGTTTATTTTTTAATTATAGATTTTGAAAAAAAATGGTACGGTAATTGTTAGTGGATATATTAAAATTATATTTAAATAAAATAATTAAAGTTTATTTGATGTAAAGTAAGAGAAAAATGATTGAAAGTTATAGTTAGTTAGAGTTATGTGAGTAGATGAATAGTGAATTAAAGTTGATTTGATATGTAAAAGTGATTGGTTAATATTATTTAATTATATTGATAATATTTATGATAGTGAGATTGAATTAAAGTTAAATTAAATTTGAGTTTTAATTTATTTTTTTACTATTCAATTCATATACAATCACCCCTAATCGCCGTGCATTTGTTAAGACTATATTAGGGACGGTCCAACCCTTGACCCAAAACCGAGCCGGAAACGATTTTGGCCATGTGTATAGAAAAATTGTAAACACCGTAATAAATAGTTTCGTACAAAAATATGAATGTTCACACTTAGCACCAGAAGTGTTCCTCTCAATCAAACCTCAATCAAAGCCCTTTACCAAAACCCACTCGGGCCCATTTAATTTCTGACTCGTCTTTTCCCATCTTTGAATTTACAATAACCATTTCAGCTGCATGCTCTCACTCTCGGTCAAGGCTTTCAGCTCAAAAATCAATCATGGCCGTCGCCACAGCGGTACGCGAACAATGGTTTCTTTGTATCTTATATTATCTGAGTCTTCTGTATTTAGCAGTGTTTGATAATTTTATTTTATTTTATTTTTTTAATTTTTTATTATTATTATTTTTTAAAATTTCTTGTTCAAAGATTGGGTTTTTGACGCCCTTGAATGGCAAGTTGGAGGAAAAGGGCACCTCTCCCAAAATACCCCTCTCCAAAGGCATTACATATGTCGGCCGCGATTGCATTCCGATCACCGATAAGCGCCTCAGCCGGCAGCATATTGCTGTCAGTGTCTCCGATGACGGTTCCGCTGACATCATTGTTGTACGCATCTTTATTCTCTCAGTGCATGTCTGTGAATGGGTTTGATTACTTTCTGAAAATGTGGTTTTCGGGCGCCAATTAGGGCTTTAATGTTGTAATTAGAATTTTTCCATACATATGAACTTTAGCTACTAGGTATAACTCCTGTATATTCTCTCAGTCACTTGAAAGTTATGAATTATGTATGCTTGTGGCTATATGTAAGCTATTCTGCTTGTTTATTATTTGTGTGTGTTTCATTTTTTGCTCGCAGTATTTGATGCTCTGAGCATTTTAATGTAGGAAGGGACGAACCCGGTAGTCGTAAGGTCCAAAGGTGAGAGGAAGAAACTTTTGTCTGGAGAAAAGCAGAAAATTCAAGCTGGGGATGTTATAGAGTTATTGCCTGGTCATTACTTTTTCAAAGTAGAAATTTTATCATCTATTATTACACATAAAAGGCCTTTGGATGAAGGAAATGGTAAAGGGAAAGAGCTTGCTTGTAGTAGGAAGCGAATGCAAAAGTTCTCACAGGAACAGACATATGTTGAAAATTCAAATGTATGGCCCTTTTTTTTATTTCTGGGCTCTAACATCACTTTCATTTTTTATTCATTCAATTTCATTAGTTCGAGTTTGGATCTGTTGCAGTGTAATGATGAAGACTCAAACACTTCCTCCGAGGGAATAAGGCATTTCCAAGTTCCTAAAGATAAGCTGCCGCTGACTTTTAGACTATTGAGAGTGAAAGGATTGCCAGAGTGGGCAAATACGAATGCTGTTTCCATTAATGATGTGATTCAGGTTAGAGTTGTTATGTACCTGCAGGATACAGTGGTCAAAATGTTAATAGTTAGAATGGGGTTTAGTTTAGGATTTTCTTTTGGGTAAATTATATTGATCCTCAATGAATGAAGCTGGTTAATGGATTTATAGAAGCTCCTGTTGTATCTTTATGCTAATTCAAGCTTTTGTTTTGTAGGGTGATGTTCTCTTTGCCGTCCTTTCAAATTATATGGTCGATATTGACTGGCTACTTTCTGGTGGGTTTACTGTTCTAATATAAATTCTGGTTGTCTGGCTATTGATATTTCATCTTTCTTTTGTATGAGCCAACAATTTATTTCATCTTTCTTTTGTATGATCCAATAATCTACAATTTTTGTATGGATACAAACTAAGCGAGCATCTTAAAGAAGTAAACGACATTCTGCAACAAATAAACACTATTGTTATTATTATTATTATTATTATTTTGTCCATTGCAAATGGAGCTGGAAGAGTCATTGTTGACAATTCTCCTGGCATAGTACTAATAATGGACTAGATCAAAATGGCTCAATTAAATTCTAGTGCTTCTTCTATTAGTGAAGTTTCTAGAAAAAAAATATATCAAACGGCGCAATGCACCTTGGGTCGCTACGGAAACAGCCTCCTTGTATAGTTACAAGGGTAAGGTCTGCGTACAACTGACCCCCCAGACCCCAACCTGTTGGGAATATACTGGGTATGTTGTTGTTGTGGTGTTATTATTATTATTATTATAAAAATTAACACATTCTCTGGATTGTGCTGTAGAACCTATTCTTTCTCATACTATGATTAGCCTGTTTCTATTTATATGTAGCGTGTCCAATGCTTAGAAGAGTCCTGCATGTGCTTGTTGTCCATGGGGAAGGTGACGGTACCCTCGAGTACATGAAGGTTTACTAACATATCATCATAAAATGTTGAGTTTAAAGATGCTTGCCTGTGATTGATGTCATTTTTTTCTTTCTTAGAGAAATAAGCCTTCTAACTGGATTCTCCACAAACCTCCATTACCCATTTCATACGGAACACACCATTCGAAAGCCATGCTTCTTATCTATCCACGAGGAGTGCGAGTCATTGTGCATACAGCAAACTTGATACATGTTGACTGGAACAACAAATCCCAAGGTTTGTGGATGCAAGATTTTCCATGGAAGGATCAAAACAGTACAAGTAGTGGGTGTGGATTTGAAAATGACCTGGTCGAGTATCTGAGCGCATTGAAGGTACTGTTGTGTGCAAGATTGGTATACATGGTTGTCGTATGTGAAGTATTAAATAATAACTGGGGGAAGCTGACTAATTATTCTGTTATATATATATATATATATAGATAGATAGAGTAATGCGGTGAAGACTTTTAGACTTTCCATTTTGACTTATGTTCAATGTTATTTTTAAGAAACAATTTGAATTGATTTTGTTAATTTTCTTTTATGAGTGAAACTGATTCTGAATTCTTTTCTTGATGCATTTGGGTGAATGGCTTCCAATCAACATCAAGTATTTATGTGTTTAAGATATTGAAAACTCTTTATTTCTTATTGCTTCTTCTGTTTTCCAGTAATTTTTACTACTGAGTAGGTATCCTAATGTTGAAAGTCCTGAATTATTTTCATTAACTGCTGGTGAGTTTGAAGCTTTTGCAATAATCTGTTAGTATATATTTAAAGTTGCCAGACATGCGCCTGGAAGGAATTTCTATACTTGATGCGATTTGGTGCTCTAATTCGTTGCTTTTGTTTTCTACTTGCAGTGGCCTGAATTCAATGCCAACTTACCGGGCATCGGTAGCTTCAGTATAAATCCCTCTTTCTTCAAGAAATTTGATTACAGCTCTGCCACGGTAATTATTAAATTCGGCTTTTCGAGCAGGTTTTGGCAATGTTTAGTAAATAAAGACAAGTCATTACTATGCTGAGGATTGTCCGCGCTTAATCTTGCATGGCCTCATCTATGAATAAAATATTCGATACTGATGAAGGCATGAAGTTAATCATTTGATGTAACTCGACTTGCCCAGGTGAGGCTTATTGCTTCAGTCCCAGGATACCATTCTGGCTCGAGCTTAAGGAAATGGGGACATATGAAGTTACGGACTGTTTTGCAAGAGTGTACCTTTGAGAATCAGTTTGAGAAATCTCCACTTATTTATCAGGTATTTGTCTACTCTTCTTGCATGTCATGAAAAAATGATATTTACTCATAAATTTTCTCCTCGCCTGGCTCTCTCTTACGATATTCTCTTGAATTTCTTGACTTCAGTTTTCTTCACTAGGTTCGTTGGATGAGAAATGGATGACTGAGCTGGCATCTTCCATGTCAGCAGGTATGACCGAAGACAAAAGGCCTTTGGGTCCCAGTAAACCCTTGATCGTATGGCCGTCTGTGGAGGACGTCAAATCTTCCTTAGAGGTAGCTATTTCAGCATATCTGCTCGTTTATATTGTACTATCTAAACGTGTAAAAAGAAAGTGAGAATTTTTAGGTGAACTAGTTAAAACCTAAACATATTCTCACCAGAATTTTTCTGTATAATGAATTAATCATGAAACCTTGATATATATTTTCAACTAAAAGATTTAGCGGAAAGTTTTACTTCTTTATGTGGCTTAGAAGCTGATTGTTTGTTTTCCTTTGCTTGATTCTGAAAAGGGTTATGCAGCTGGAAATGCGATACCAAGCCCACTAAAAAATGTAGAGAAAGAATTCCTTAAAAAGTATTGGGCAAAGTGGAAAGCTGGCCACACAGGTCGCTGGTATATATACAAACTATGCGAGTGGATATAATATCATTACCCGAATTATAATATTGAATGGATTCTTAGACATTTTGAATTGTTCCAGTCGTGCGATGCCTCATATAAAGACGTTCACACGTTACAATGGGCAAAACCTTGCGTAAGTGCCCCTTTGGATCTGTTAATTTCTTTTTCTTTTTTTTTTCTCCCCTTATGTGCTAGCTTGCAATCATTCAAATTTTGAATAGTATTTGCCTTCTGATATTTAACAGATGGCTACTGCTGACCTCATCGAACCTCAGCAAAGCTGCCTGGGGAGCTCTGCAGAAAAATAACTCTCAGTTAATGATCCGTTCATATGAGGTATAGTATTGTATTTTGCACGGGAAGTTGAGATTATCTGAAAAAAACTAGTTAAGTGGACAAAACTCAAATCCCTTGCATTGATCCTGCCGAAGAAAATACGTTCATTTATCCTTTTTTAAATTGCTGAGAAAATAACCCTTATATTATACTCAATCAATCATCATAGCTGGGTGTACTGTTCTTGCCTCTACACAAGGAATATGGATGTGGCTTTTCATGCACTGATGGCGCACAAGACTCAAAGGTGTGAACTAAACACATTTTTCCAGTCAGTGAAAAATGCTCCTTTTCTGGCTTGCGATATATGACTTTATTTATTTTTTTTATTTTTTATTTTTAACTTTCAGGACATATCGACTTCTCAAAGAAGTTCTGAAGCGAAACGAACAAAACTTGTGACCCTGTCTTGGAGAAGTAACCAAAATAATCAATCATGTGAAGTTATTCGATTGCCCGTGCCTTATGAACTTCCTCCAAAACCTTACTCTTCGGGAGGTGTTATTAAGCTCCTTATTCTTTATTTAGAGTCTTGCTAAGCTCTCTATAATATAAGTTTATGTCTAATATCTGTGACATTTTACAGATATACCCTGGTCTTGGGATCGAAAGTATACAGAGAAGGATGTATATGGCCAAGTTTGGCCAAGGCAGGTGAAGCTTTACACTAGTCAATAGGAGCGTGTCTGTTTTCTGTTAGTTTTAAGCGGGTAAAATGTAAAGAACTCGTTTGTTACCAGGTTAGTTGAAGTTATAACTTGGTGCAGTTGAAGTAGTCTGGCCTTTGGGGTTAGATTTTTTAAAGTTTATTTTGGTATATAAAATCAATCATCTGTTTTCTTGATCTGTTCCTTTCTTCCTTTTACTGCTTGTGAATTTCTCTTGGCAAGACACGGCAAAAACCAGGCTTCTTGATTCAGGCATGCATTTATAGTCGGTTCTTAAATTCAATATGGACGAGATAATATTCTTAAATTTAATACCAGATAATATCGTCAAACATGATTTAAATTTAAATACAAGATAATATTTATCCAATTGAATACCAGATAATATTATATTGGAGTAATGATTTTTATCTCCGGTTTAAATATGAATATGAGGTAATATCTATCAAGAATATTATTGAAGCGACGATGCTTAGAAGATTTAAATTTGAATATGAGATAATATAATATGATTGAAGCTAGATGATTTAAATTGAATTTGAGCTAATGTTTATTTGACGCAATATGAGAGATAATTTTTACCTATTTATATTTGAATATGACATATTACCTATCTAAACAAATTTTGTTTATGCCTAACATGATGACTTAAATTTGAACATTCAAAAATATCATTTAAATTTGAATATGATATTCCAGTTGTGATAGCCCCAAGTCATGTCTCAAAATACCATTTCAATAATATTTGGAGGGCAATACTGAGAATGACTTGAATTTGTTGGTACAGTACTGAGTATTAAATGACTTAAAAAAAATTTGGAGGACAATACTGAGAATGACTTGAATTTGTTGGTACAGTAGTGACTCATCTTTGGCGTGATTGTGACGACTACCTTCAGATTGGAAGGAGGACGTTTCATTAGATGACTTGACTTGAATTTGAATATATCATGAATATAATTGAAACAATAATATGACCTAAGGGTTAATGATTTAATAATGTCGATCTCAATATTAATCTCTTAAATTTAATATGAGATGATATAACGATCATTTTTATCTCCTAGGTTGTAGATATGTTTTAGAGGCAATCTTATTTTATATATGTACAAGGAATTTGTTTTATAATTTATTAGAATTTGTCATTATATACACAATCTTTGTTCATCAGTATATAGCAATTTAGGTGTTTTTATACATATATTTTAGCTAATAGTTTTTAAAATATTAAGCGGTTTCACACGTCTTATAGAAAATAAGTACAAAATATATTATATATATTTACGCATGTTATATAACATTTTAATTACTTCTAATATTCTAGTTAGCCATGCTTTATGTTTCTATACAAGTTAAGTATTACATAGCATTTTAAATAAATTAATATATGTAAATTATACTACACATTAAATCTATTTTTTTTTTTTTGTTTCATTAATATTATTTAATATTGTGTACTCATGCATTAGACGCGATTCTACTAATAGACAAGATTCTACTAATAATTCATGATGAAAAACATTCTTTTAATTGATAATTTATTCTTTATGTTTTGTAATTGAAGATTTCGTTTCAAATCTCATGTGATCACTAGATATATTTCACAACGTACAACATCTTATTAGCATGATACGATTATCATTAGGAAAATGCTACAAGTACATAATAAATGTACATAGAGGTGTATATAACACTCACATAGAGTGAGTCCACTTGATTTTTTATTTTTAGTAGGTCCCGTGAGTCTTATTATGTAATTTTTTATATATATAATTGGTAGAAAATTTTTAAATAGAACTATTTGGCTTTCTCGCCTTTTAATCGCAGTTCACACTTAAATTTTATTAAAACTATATATGTCGCCAACTCTTGGGCTTTCTCGCCTTTTATTACAGCTCACAGCAAGTCCATTCTGGGTCCGGGGTCTCAACGGTGCATACTTACACCGCACAGTCTGCTGTGCTTTTTAAAGGCCTTGGATCAAATTAATTTAATCAAACGGTCCAAATGGATTAAAATTTTTCTAAATTGGGTCCCACATACTTCTCTCTATCTATTTCTACTCTCGTCTCTTTTCTCCTTCTGCCCAAGGTTATTAGTTGCAGCCGTTTAATTTTTCCCTTCCGAATTCAAATAACGGCAAACTCCATATCAACTCTCCCAGCAAACTTCCTACCCTCCTCTCAGTTGCAAGAACACACTTTTAAACTCTCCTTCCAAATTCATTTTTCCTCTCGGTTCTTATCAAACGCGAGTAAAGCAATAACAGATTTTCTCAAGCAAATCTGCACTTCAATCTGCCAACACAGGTAATTCTCCTTTATCTATCGTTTTTTTTCATTATTATTATTATTTTATGTATTTTCTGTGGATTCAAAGTGAAAATTTACAACCTTGGTCCAAAAATAAACAAACCTCAGTGTAAACTAATCAACTCCCTCCTGTCACTTTGATTTTAAAAACTAAATGAGCGTCGGATTGATGGCTGCCTTCCGCCGTCCAAGTGCTGGGTTCTTCTTTTTCTTGTTATACTCAGGGCCTCAGACCGGTTACCACGGTCTCCGAAGCGATTAGAAATAAAATTTAGAAATTTGGGGATTTTGGGCACTAAATTAATTTTCCTCTGTGCTAGTTTAACGAAAATTTAGACTTTAAGTCTTAAAATTTTCTGGTGTTACCTTGTCGGCACAAAGTATGTGTGTGTGAGTGCCGGCGTAAGCGTAACCTTGGGCAGAAGGAGAAAAGAGACGAGAATAGAAATAGATAGAGAGAAGTATGTGGGATCCAATTTAGAAAAATTTTAATCCACTTGGACCGTTTGATTAAATTAACTTGATCCAAGGGCCTTTAAAAAGCACAGCAGACTGGGCGGTGTAAGTATGCACCGTTGAGACCCCGAATCCGTCGATTCTCTTTCTTCCCTTCTCCAACTCTGGTTTGCCCTACCTCTCTAAACCTTCACTTGAATGTTGAGCAATCAATTTGGTTTTAGTAAGTCTTGTTGATTTTCAGAAAGAAAACAAACAAATTAATCAATTAGTTGTATTGAAGGTTTGGTGTTAATGGACTGTAGAGTTCTGTCTTTCAATCGAAGCTGTGGTTTATTTGGCGGCCAAAGAATTAGTCATCAAATACCCTTTGCTTATCATCAGAGAGGTAAGTCCATTTTATCATTTTCTTTTTGTATGCCGTTCTTTTTACAATGTAAGTTTTAGCTGTTGTGGTCTTATTTTTATTTTTTTAGTATCTAGTCAGTATGTTCTGTGTTCTGGTTGTTTGGTTATACTCGCACTTGACATGTCTAAAAAAATGTGGTGAATTATATAAAGATAATAAAAATTCCGTTGGTTCTGGGGCAAAATTCTGTGGAAGAATTGCTACTAATTGAAGATAAATTAGGATGAATGTAATATAAAGATAGAGAAAGAGTTAATTAATGGTCCACATGCCATTTTAAGTGTGCAGCTGATGCGTGGTTGGTACTTGGTGCTATCTTCAATTGTGCTGTTTGCATAACTCAGAATATGAAACACTGCAAGAATTCTTATACATATCAATTAATATAGTGAGCAGTTATTCCTTCAACTTCTTCTTCAATAATACATACTGATGGGTGATATAACTATGGAAACATTACCTTTTTGTATATGTTGAATAGTTACTTTGTTCTGCCGTTTATTGTAGGAGCATTTCGTTGCACTACAACTTGTTCTATGAAGTCCTATAAGCTGTCAGATCTTAGCAGGTCTGAGGTTATTAGCCTTAAAGCTCGCCCTCGGATTGATTTCCGATCGATTTTTGAAGTGGTATTGATTTTTTCATGTTCTTAAACTTGCACGTTCTTATGTTCTATCGACCTATTACTTATTAGAGAAATTCACTGTTATATCATGTTAGCATTTCTATTATAGAACATCAACAATTTGTGCTTAGGTTGAGCCCATTATTGAAGATGTGCGGAGTAGAGGTGATGCTGCTGTCAAGGAGTAGGTGTTTTCTTTTTTCGCCCTTTTTCCCTCACTTCAAAATCCTCTACTGATTGATAACTGGCATCTGCTTTTCTATTTTTCATTTATTTTCTTGGGAACAGCTATACACTGAAGTTTGACAAAGTTGAACTAGACAGCATCGTTGAGATTGTGAATGACTTTCCGAATCCAGTGGTATATTTCTTCTAAAATACTTCTTCAATATGTTGTGATTAATGATGTATGTGTTGCAGATGTGTGATGAATCTACTTATAATTTTTGGTAGAATTTATGATTAGTCTTTATTCCATTCCATGGTTAGCTTGATCCTTCTGTTCAAGAAGCGTTTGATGTGGCGTACGACAACATTTTTGCTTTCCATGCTGCACAAAAACCAGTTGAGCAGTTTGTGGAGAATATGGAAGTAAGAAATATTAGTTTTAATCTAGTTTCGATCTGAAAAGGCTCTGTTTCATCTTTGAGTGTGCTATATATACATTCATTTTTCACAGGGTGTTCGATGCAAAAGAGTGGCACGGAGTATTTCTTCTGTGGGTCTTTATGTTCCTGGTGGAACTGCTGTATTACCTTCAACAGCCCTGATGCTGTCAGTTGTACGTTGATTACACAATTTGAGTTGATATTTTAATTTTTAATCTGTGACTTTAATCATAGCCGATAGCTCAATTTCCTTACATTTCCTGAACCAGCCTGCACAAATTGCTGGGTGCAAAACCATTGTACTCGCAACTCCTCCTGCTCAAGATGGCAGCATCTGTAAGGTAGATGTTCTATCTTGATGTCATACTTTTTTCTTGACAATCATCTTTATGTTAATACAATTCTAGATATGGCTAACCATCCATTTTCTTCCTGTAGGAGGTTCTTTATTGCGCAAAGAAAGCTGGTGTTACTCATATTCTTAAAGCTGGAGGTGCTCAGGTCAGAGTGCACTATACGATCAGCATACTCTGTATCTAAGGATAGTTTTTTCTAGTCTCCCTAATTTTGGCAACATAATCTGTAGGCTATTTCAGCTATGGCGTGGGGAACTGATTCCTGCCCTAAGGTATCTTTTATATTCCTATGAACTCGTTTTTATAGTTTATCCGCTTCCATGCATCTATGAAAACTCTTGTTATGTAATGGTTGCAGGTTGAAAAGGTATATGGGCCTGGAAATCAGTATGTGACTGCTGCAAAAATGATTCTCCAGGTATTTATGAGTTTCAGTTTCTGGGTTTCTTAACAGATCAAAATACATCATTTCTTCTAAATTTTCAGTTGGATTTTATAGAATAGCGAAGCTATGATTTCAATAGACATGCCTGCTGGACCATCAGAAGTACTTGTCATTGCTGATAAACATGCAAGTCCTGTTCACATAGCTGCAGATTTACTTTCCCAGGTGTATACCCTTTCATAGAACTCTCGCTACCACCTGTTTTGTCTTATTTATCTTTTCTATCACCATGTTATAGTTCAAGGGTTGCGAATCTTTTTATTCAGAAGCTAAGATTAACGTTTATGGCAGAACTTGAGTAATTTTACGGAATATTTGTGTAAACATAGTTGGGAAGCCAGTACAAATTGTTGTTCGTTCACTGTCATTTATGGCTTCTTCTATAATATTTTCCAACTTAATTTCCTTTAAACATGCTATTCTGTTACATTTCTGACGGCAAAGATTTGTTTGGAATTTCAGGCTGAGCATGGCCCTGATAGCCAAGTTGTTCTTGTAGTTGCTGGAGAAGGTGTCGATATAAATGCCATTGAGGATGAAATCAAGAAGCAATGCAATAGTCTTCCACGGGCAGAGTTTGCTTCTAGAGCACTAAGCCACAGCTTTATTGTTCACGCTCGTGATATGGTTGAGGTTTGTATATATTATTTAAATTTTCAGATCGGCACCGAACAATTTCACAACCAATGTTATTATTAATGACAGAAATGGTGACACGTGAATAGTTTATCTGTTTTGTTGGACATATTCTGGTTGTAGGAAATAAAAAGAATATTTATTAGTCTTAATTCTTGGACATACATCTCGAGCTAACTTTGCAAATTAACATCTGTATTGTCAATAAATTGGGAGGTTGTTCTTGTGGCCTTGTTGGGCTATTTTCTTATTTTAACCCCATCATGTGAATACCCTTGTTTGACCCAAACTAAAGAGATATCTGCCAAAATTGTGTCTGATTCAATCTTCAATAATGCTGACATGTTATAACTTGCTATTATTTATCTGGGGAACTTTGGGGGGAATGATTTCTTAGCATTATCTTTCTGTAATTCCAAAATTCCATCAAAAACCCGAAAGAATCTTTCACCAGATTACAAACAAACTTGGGCTGATATTGCACTATCTTTGGAATTTTCAGGCAATTGCCTTTTCTAATCTGTATGCACCTGAGCATTTAATAATCAACGTGAAAGATGCTGAAAAGTGGGAATCGTTCGTTGAGAATGCAGGTAAGCTTATGCTGAAAAGTGGGAATCGTTCATTGAGAAAAAATTCGGTCTTTAACTTTTCTTTAAGCTACATAGCATTTGCATATACAGATACATGCTTAAGCTGTGTATACACCATTTTTGGTTATTAAAACTCACAACTCAATGCAGGTTCTGTATTTGTGGGTCAGTGGACACCAGAGAGTGTTGGGGATTATGCAAGCGGCACAAATCACGTTCTTCCAACTTATGGTTATTCACGAATGTATGGTGGAGTCTGTTTAGACTCTTTCTTGAAATACATTACAGTTCAGTCATTGACAGAAGAAGGGCTTAGGAATCTCGGGCCTTATGTAGCCACTATGGCTGAAGTCGAGGGACTCGATGCCCACAAGAGAGCCGTAACTCTTAGACTACAGGACATTGAAGCTAAAGCAAGCACGTCTTTTCCCAAATAAGTACGTGCTTTTCACTTGATTTCTTGTATCTTATTTTTGTAGAGATACTATAAGATAGCTGCTTTTATTGGTTCGGATCAGTTTTTGCTTTGATATAAGCTTCTATGGAATTATTACCTTGAGCACGGACTGTATGCTTCTCTCTTGAGCTACATTTGAAATTTTAAGCGTGGAATATATTTTGCTTATGGACAACTTTTGTTATATATATATATATATACATTCAGCTCTCTTGCGAATTTTACTAGTTAATTTTCGTAATATTTCATATTTGTTGTGGCAAAAGTAGGAGATAAAATACGTTGATTTCAGTTTAAATGGCCTCTAACAACTCAACAAAACCCAAAAGTTGCTAACGTTGTTGATCTATTCGACAATCGTGACTCGTAAATATTCTGAGATGAATGCCATAATTGAGGTTGCTACTACATAAATAGAAGATGCTCCTTCAGATATATGAAGCCTCAATGTGGTTCATAGGCTATACAACCAACAAACATCAAACGAAGCTTACTTCATCTTTAGTTGTCTACAAACCATATAGACCCCACCGAATGACAAGTACTAGGACTAGGATTCAAGTTTAAATTGCATACTACTTTTTTCAAAAACCAAACTAA